TGGGTAGCTTTTGGATTCTCTCACCCTGGGTTTGCCTTTTGTAAGCTGGAAGTCTGGGGCTGCATCTTATTTTAAGTGTCTTCTCATTTTCTGGGCTTCTTTTTTAGCTTAATTTATGGGTTAATTCTCATAAAGTGTTATGACAAATAGCTTTATTCCTAGTAATTAGAACCCTTAGTAAATGATTAAGAGATGTCTTCCTGGTGTAGCTATCTTTTGAGTTTTTAATGTATTACAAGATCCTACCATTTCACTTTAATGAGATGAGAAGTTCTTGCATACTTTTAATGTTGTATTCTTGTGTTGAATTTCTAGAATCCTGAAAATTTCTAGAATCCTGAACCATCCCCTGGTACTTTGGCACTAGCCTATAGAATGTTTTATAACCCTTAGTCATTCTTAGTCCTGAGCAACTGGTTAGAACAATTATGTCAGTTTTGTTAAAGTGATACAACCAGCAATAAAAATAGCATAAAACACAACCTAGAAAATGACAAACAGGTGCCTATTAATTTGTTACCTTAACTGTGTAAACTAGATTTATGGTTATATAACAATATCTAAAATGAATCAGAAAATTATATGCAATAAATAAGATCTCAGTATAGTAAGGCCAAAAAATTTAAATGGGATCAGTGGAAAAATAGAGAAATAGAAGAAGAGGAAGAGATTTGAAGCAAAGCTGGAAGACAAATAAAAATCACATAAACTTTGGAAACTGTTGAAGAAGATGGTAAGGGAGGAGAGAAAGAAGAAATAAAAACAAGAATAGGACAGAATGACAATAACCTTGAATTTGTTCATACTCATAAAAACAAGAACAATCAAGAAACAACCAACAACAACAACAAAAAAGAAACGAGAGAGAAAGGAAAGAAGAAAATGTAAAGAAATGCCTACTTCAAGGTGTTTCTCTGCTGTCACTAGCAGAAAATGTGGGCAAACAGTGTTCAGATCCAAGTTCATTAATCCAAGCAAGTCAACCATATTTTTGGGGCATGGCAGCCGATAATCTCAGCAAGTGCACCTTTAGTTCAACTTAAGCACAGGCTGGTTTCTGACTGTGACATTGAAACCAAATTTGCTCAGCCTACATGAAACTGTGTGCCTCATGCTGGCTTGAATGAACTTGGTTCCTGGCTGGATTTAATTCAAACTACTACAGATATCAGGAACATCCCAAGTCATCCTGTGTCCTGATGTGAAGCCTACATGGAGTGGAGACATGACCATATAATGATAACATACGATGGACAAGAAATGATTTTATCCTCCTGTGAGGGATTCGAGACTCATCTGTTACTGCACCAAAACCTAACCTGTTCTCACCGTGCCATGGCACATTTGATGGGACACTATTGTCTCAAGGATAGCCCTCATCAACTAGAGGGTGACCAGCTAAAGTGTGTCACCCACGTATACTAGTATCAGTGGAAAATAATAATTATTATTTTTGGCGGTACCAGGAATTGAACTCAGGACCTTGTGCTTGCCAGGCAAGCACTTATTCCACTGAGCCATCTCCCAGCCCTCTAATCAAGTTTTTTGACTTTCCATCAGCTCCACACTCTTTGTGGCTCTGCTTTATTCTATCACTTGTAAAGAGTTGACTGAAATTTCCAGTTACTTATCCATATGAAAAGAAGTTATCTATATTACTTTTAGAGAATGTTACGAGCTCCCAGAAGCTCTGTGAAAGCTTCTCTAGTGATTGTAGTGAGTGTAGAGTCACAGAGTCTGGGTGCAAATCTTGACTCTCGCACATACTGGATGAGTTTAGGCGAGAAACCAAATCTCAGTTTCTGCATCTATAGAATAGGAATAACAAGAGTGCCTTACTCTTGGACCATAACCATGAACAAAGGAGTTATTAATATCTGTATAAGGTTTGAAAAAGTGTCTAAAACAGGGTTCATACTCTGCCCATGTTAGTAGCAGATATCTAATGTATTCATGTCCTCTCATATTATAGCTTTCCATTAGAAATTCTTCTAATATTATAAGTTCCATCTGAGTCTCCCTTGAAGCAGTTTTTTTTTTCCTGTGGTCAACCCTGACCCAGAATGATAAGAAGGAAAGGCTGGAAGGCATAACTCAAGCATAGTTAGGTTGACACAAAAAGTCGTCACAGGCTGGAACAGTAAATTGCAATATGTTGGGCAGCCAGACAGATTTTTCAAGGCACCCAGTAGAATCTTAAAAAGTTTCTATTTTACTTTTAAGTAGCAGTGGTTTGATCAGATTTTCATTTCAGATGCTCTCAGGTGGCAAAGTGGAGGATGGATTGGCAGTTGGGAGACAGGAAGCATGAAGAATATCTTGCAGTATTCTGTAATTTCTAAGGTATTACTTCAAATAAACATGATGCTAATTTTTCTAATTACCTGTGATATAATACAAAAACTAAAATATATACACACCTATCAGATTAAGATATTATTTTCCTTTCTCCCCAGGAGATAGTTCATTCATTTAATTAACTTCCTAAATGTGGCATTGTCATTGATTTAATTCTGAATTTTTTCCACTGACAATTTTAGTGTGTCAAATGATCTCACATGCAGCATAAAACAAAAATGAGGACAGAATCTACCTACCCAGAAACAAAGAGCTCTTTGAAAAATAGCATTAGTTTTAGGCATGAATTTCAGTTCAAAATATAACCCTACTTCTGCAAGCAAGAGGAGAGAGTAATGGAGTCTCTCCTCCCATGACAGGCTCCTTGATTCTGGCTGTGCGCTGAGCTCCCCTCAGTTTCTGGCCTTGCCTGGGATCGCCTGGGCAAATGTGCCTGGCTGTGGCTGATGGACTGGGAATAGAAGAGTGGGCCGCACTCTGGGCTGAGGCAGCTTGCTAAGGAAGCTTGTTTTCTCTTCCTGCTGAGGTAACTTGGAAGCCATATATTCCAGATAACAGAAGTACATGATGGAAGAGAACTGCCTGAACACCATAGAACTTTGTGTGAGTAGAAGATAGGCTTTTATTGTAAAACATAACTGTGAATTTGCTACTCCTGCATTGTCCAGCACAGCCTGGCTAATATAACCACCAAAGCCTGCGTTACACCTTCTGTGCCTGTTTACTCACTGAGTTGTCCCAAAAGTTGTAATACAAGCAGGATTTAGAAAAAGCTATGTGGCTCATCTAAGCTCATACAATTTGAAGGTCAACCTGATGGAGTTCAATACAGTCAGTATAGACCCCAAACCCATGTTTTGTTTTATAACCTGCTGTATTTTAGCATACCCTACTCCCCTTTCACCAAAGATCTGCCTGGCATTGTGGTATATGTTTGTAATCCCAGCTGCTGAGGATACTGAGACAAGAGGATCACAAGTTCAAGGTCACCTTGGGCAACTTAATAAGAGCCAGTGTGAAAGCATTCATTTAATTTTTAACTTTTTATTGATTTTATTGAGAAACAAATTGCAATGAGACAGTTTCAAAACTGATTAATAGGACTGTTTCAATAAGTAATACATTGCATATTGTTGTTTTTGTAGTGATTGTTCATAGTACAAGATGCAGACATGGTATCCTGTCCAAACACTATTAGTACAAATCTTTCTTCTCGTTGAATTAAGAGAAAGTAGCTGTATATCTATCCTGTTTTGTATATACAGATTCAAAATGGTCTTTCATTTGTATCCCCCTTTTTTTGTTTAGTTTTGTCAGAGATGGGCATTCCTTTGCCATTTAAATATTGTAGGTACATGAATTCAGTAAAATAATCCAATATAGTCCAGTAGTCCATAATAGTAGTGGATTATTTGTAGGACTGGCAATGTCAGAAGTTGTTTGTTTGTTTGGTGGAACTGGGTATTGAACTCAAGCCCTTGCACTTACCAAGCAAGCACTTATTCTAATGAGCCATCTCCCTGTCAGAAGTTGTTGACTTGAGCCTTTTACAACTCAGTATATTAATATGGCTTTACTTTTCATACCTCATTATCATACTCTTCTGTGGATGGTTAAGACCAAGATAAAGCAAGACCTACATAACAAGTAATGTAACTTCTGTATCTAACAAGGTCAGTCAAATCCCCTCAGGATTTACCCTGAAACCCTGTACCTCACTTTGTAGATCCTTTGTCAGTGTCAGCCATGTAGATGAGTCATGGCCATTGCTTGACCAATTTGCTCTCTGTGAAAGCCTGAAAGAATGTTTTTGTTCCATGTGGCTCTCCTTAGGCACACTCTACATCGTCGATCACTTTCCTCTGTGGCCTCATAGTCTCCTTGATCAGAAAATTTGGAACATCACTGAGTTACAGGATATTACAATACAGGTTCTCTTATGTCCTGAGTCTTCACTGATTAAAATGTTGACTGTCTTTGTAGCCCTTCTTTTTCTCTAATTTTGGTCTGCAAACTTAAGTTGTTAACCCTCTAGAAGAGAAGCTTAATGATATTATCAACCTATAACATAGGCAGTTGAGCTGAACCTCACTATCTGTCTGAATATCAAACATATTAGACATAGCACGGAACAGGTATTTTCCATCAAGTATTGATAGGTTAAACTTTAAATCCCTACAGAATGTGAAGAAAAAATAAATGAAAAAATATTTCTAAAAAAATTGGAATAAACAATTGCATATTTTTTCACAGAAATTAAGAAATCTAACCATATACAGCATTGTAGCAAGACAGACCTGTGACATTTTTGTTTCTTGTCTCTTGTTTTCATTTATTACCCTTTAAAAAAAATAAACATTTACTTGAGAGACAGTATAGCAGTAATTGTATGACATGCAAACAGTACATATTTAGAAGACCAGAATAACAGGCATTCCAAGCATGGCCCTAGTATTATACATTGCTATTCAGTGCAATTGCTTAGTTCACAGGTGTCACCATATAGTCAGGGTGAGAATCCTACCAATTAACTGCTAGTTTTAAAAACCTGCTGAAGGGGGCTGGGGAGATGGCTCAGTGGAATAAGCGCTTCCCTAGCAAGTACAAGGGTCTGAGTTCAATCCCCGGTTCCGGGGCGCAGTAGAGCTTTAGTGTTTGTAGATAGAAAAAGTAAACCATCAAGGAATTCAGACCACTAAGTACTTGTAACTTGGACCAACTTGAGTTCTGACTTAACAGATCAACTGGCAGCAGAAAATGAAAAGTAGTGTGGCACAGATCAGGCATTCTTCTGGTCATGACAAAAGAGAAAACTATAATTCTTACCAGAGGACCTCCTCCCCTGAAGACAGATACACAGAACGAGAACGGTCCCCCCAGGATAGAGATTACTTTGATTACAGCAGGTCAGACTATGAACACTCAAGAAGAGGACATTCTTATGATGGTGTGGATTCCCGAAGCAGGGACCAAGAGAAACGCAGAGAGCAAGAGAGAGAGATGGAGAAGAAGAGGTCCCGGGAATCCCCATCTCCAGGGAGGAGGAGCCCAGATGCCTCAGCACACCAGGGTTCAACTCAGGATGAGTCTGCTGCAAAGAAGAAGAAAGACGAGCTGGACCTGCTCCTTACCCACACTGGTGGAGCATACATTCCTCCCGCCAAGCTCAGGATGATGCAGGAGCAGATTACAGATAAAAACAGCTTAGCATACCAGAGGATGAGCTGGGAGGCCTTAAAGAAGTCAATCAATGGTCTTATCAACAAAGTCAACATTTCCAACATAAGTATTATTATCCAAGAGCTTCTTCAAGAAAATATAGTCAGAGGAAGAGGACTACTGTCCAGATCTGTGTTACAAGCCTAGAGTGCATCGCCCATCTTCACACACGTCTATGCAGCCTTAGTGGCGATTATCAACTCAAAGTTTCCACAGATTGGGGAGTTAATCCTAAAGAGGTTAATTCTTAATTTTCAAAAAGGCTATCGAAGAAATGATAAGCAACTTTGTCTGACTGCTTCAAAATTTGTAGCACATCTTATTAACCAAAATGTGGCGCATGAAGTTCTATGCTTAGAAATGCTCACTTTGCTTTTGGAAAGACCAACAGATGACAGTGTTGAAGTGGCTATTGGTTTTCTCAAGGAATGTGGCCTCAAATTAACACAAGTGTCCCCAAGAGGAATCAACGCAATCTTTGAACGCCTTCGAAACATTCTGCATGAATCTGAAATTGACAAAAGAGTTCAGTATATGATTGAAGTGATGTTTGCTGTACGGAAGGATGGATTCAAGGACCACCCAGTCATCCTGGAAGGACTTGACCTCGTTGAAGAAGACGATCAGTTCACTCATATGCTCCCCTTGGAGGATGACTACAATCCAGAGGACGTTCTCAATGTGTTCAAGATGGATCCTAATTTTATGGAGAATGAAGAAAAGTACAAAGCTATTAAGAGGGGGCTGGAGAGATGGCTCAGTGGTCTAAAGCACCTACTTGAAACAAGCTTGACAAAGCACAGGGACCGCGGTTCGATCCCCCAGCACCACATGCCAGCCAGCCGCACCCCCTGGTGGGCTGAGCTGGCCACACACACACACACACACACACACACACACAAAAAATAAATGTAAAAAAAAAAAAGCTATTAAGAAAGAAATACTTGATGAAGGAGACAGTGATTCAAACACAGACCAAGAGGCAGGAAGTAGTGAAGAGGAAGAAGAAGAGGAAGAGGAAGAAGGAGAAGAAGATGAAGGACAAAAAGTAACTATTCATGATAAGACAGAAATTAATCTAGTCTCATTTCGTCGTACAATATATCTTGCTATTCAGTCAAGTTTAGATTTTGAAGAATGTGCTCACAAATTGCTGAAAATGGAATTTCCTGAAAGTCAAACAAAAGAACTCTGCAATATGATACTTGATTGCTGTGCCCAACAGAGGACATATGAGAAATTTTTTGGTTTATTGGCTGGGCGATTTTGCATGCTGAAAAAAAAATACATGGAATCTTTTGAAAGTATATTCAAAGAACAGTATGATACCATTCATCGCCTAGAAACAAACAAATTGAGGAATGTTGCGAAGATGTTTGCTCACCTCTTGTACACTGACTCACTTCCGTGGAGCGTTCTTGAATGTAGAAAGCTGAGTGAAGAAACCACTACATCATCTAGTAGAATTTTTGTCAAAATATTTTTCCAGGAACTGTGTGAATACATGGGTCTTCCTAAACTGAATGCAAGATTGAAGGATGAAACCCTACAGCCGTTCTTTGAAGGATTATTACCCCGAGATAATCCAAGAAACACTCGGTTTGCCATCAACTTCTTTACCTCTATAGGTCTTGGAGGTTTAACGGATGAATTGCGTGAGCATCTCAAAAACACACCGAAAATTATCGTGACCCAGAAACCAGATATTGAACAAAGCAAATCCTCGCTGCGCTCTTCATCTTCGGAGTCCTCCTCGGATTCTGACTCTGCAGACTCCAACTCTGACAGCAGCGAGAGCAGTTCAGAGTCGTCCACTGCGGACAGCGGCTCTTCGTCTTCCAGCAGCCGTAGCTCGGCCTCAGCTAAAGATATGAGAAAGAAGGGACACAGGAAGACCAGAAGTAAAGATGGAGATAAATCAGCCAGGAGCCAACAAACAAATGAGAGGAGACAGGAGAAAAGAAGGGCCGAGCGCAAGCACCAGGACGCAAGGTCTGAGAGGGACCGGAGATCAGAAAAACACAGAAGTCAAAATTCAAGAGATCAAAACTGGAGAGATCCTGTAGCAAAGCACACATCAGACAGGAGGAGCATCCTTGCCGAAGGAAACAGTTACACGATCGCTATGGGAGTGACCGAGACCAAGAAATGTGCATGGACTGGGAGAATTGGCATGGCGATCCCGAAAAGAAGAGAGGGGAGAGAAGGAAGAATTTTTCAGAAAATGAGAATTACAGACTCCGAAATCAGGACAGTGAAAATTCTAGAAGATCAGATAGATCAAAGTCAAGAGAGAAGAATAGGAAACATGCTAGCTCTAAGAGCGAGGAAGATAGGTATCAGAATGGAGCTGAAAGACGCTGGGAAAAACCAAGCAGATACTCTGAGCGCTCCAGAGAGTTAGAGAAACATCAGGACCGGAGAAGAGAAAAGTAGTTCTACAAAACAACATAACTGAACATGCTTTCTATTCAGTTCAAAGTATTTTTTCCATTATTGAACTTTATAGAGCTCTTGTATAAAGTATTGCTTTGTAAATTTTGAAAATGTTTTCATTTTAACGTTTTATAATTGATATATTCAGTGGATTCCTTATAAAATTATTGGAAGAAAAAAAATCTCAACAGCAAAGGAATGTATGTAAGTCTTGCTTATATTTTGTGAATAAAACAGTCAAATGTTCATTGAAAAAAAAAAAAAAACCTGCTGAAGATTCTCAGGATCATTGCCTTACTCTTACTCATCTTGTGCATACAAATGTACGGCTTTGCCCCTGTCATGTTTCCTAGCTTTTTTCCTTGCTCTCTCTTCATTGTCTAATCCTCAAGTCCTCGCTTTCCTTTTAATTGTGTTATACCTTTCTATTTGTATTTATTCTTTTGAGTTCTATACTAGGGAGACTATATGATATTTACATATGTGGGTCTGGTTTATTTCACTTATGAGTATATCTTCAAGTGGCATCCACTTAAATATAAAAGCTTCAAGTTTATCATTCTTTATAGCTGAGTATACTCCATTGTATAAAAATACTACATTTTTCATCCATTCCTTAAGTGACAGATATTTTGATTGTAAAGCATTAATTTAAAAATGCAATTTTTTCCCAAAAATATTTTCTCTAGAGGAACTATATAAATGATTTAGGAACAGTTGGACTACACTCTCAGTCACAGAGCTAAAGGATATTGAGTCAATTTGTTATTCTCTCAGGTTCAAACTTATATTAGCTTAAACTTTATTCCCATCACAAGGGCTATTTTCCTGAAGTTTTGAACTTGGCATCAGTGAGGCTGTTCTTCTAAAACAGCAGAACCTCATTTATAACAGATGTTTCCACAGAAATTTCAGAGCACTCCAACTCAGTTCCTCAGGTCAGTCTAATCCCCTCTGGACTTATCCTGAAACCCTGTACCACAGTTTGTAGATCCTTTGTCAGTGTTAGCCATGTGGATGAGTTATGGCCATTGCTTGCCCAATTTACTCTCTGTGAAAGCCTGAGAGAAAGTTTTCTCTCCATGTGACTCTCATGTTTTCTCTCCATGTGACTCTCTCTGTTCTTTTATTTCAATTTCTTTTCTTTTTCCTTCCTCTCTTCATTTATTTTTTTCAGTACAGTAGGCTGAATCCAGGGATGCTCTATTACTAAGCTATATTTCCAGCTCTCTTTCTTTCTTTCTTTCTTTCTTTCTTTCTTTCTTTCTTTCTTTCTTTCTTTCTCTTTTTTTGTATTTTAGGGAAAGATCTACAGGGTGTTCAGGGTCTCACTACTACATTGGACTCATAGTGATCTGCTTGTTTACAGCCTCCCAAGTGCTGGGATTACAGGTGCGCACCACCACATCCAGTCTCAATTGCTAGCTCAGCATGCCCCGGGGGCAGGGCTGGCACAGCAGGCCCAGGGGATTGAACCCTAAGCCCCTGCGCCTGCTTGCAGGTGCTTTAATCCACTGAGCTATTTGCCCAGCCCTCAACCCTTTTAATTATTTCTTTTGAAACAAGGCCTCGCTATAAAAGCCTTGGATTGGCTTCAAACTTGTGATCCTCCGGCCCTGCCTCAGTCTCCTGAGTCGCTGGGATTACAGGCAAGAATGAGCTTTTAAAATAAATGTCAAATGTATCTTCTTTAGTAAAAAGAAAATTATATCACCCCTGAATAATTCTGGCAAGAAAAACTAAGTTCCAAAATAAGGGAATTCAAGTTCTTTTAAAAAGATTTGCTAAACTATAATCAAAGTTGCAGCATGAGAGGAATATTACCTTGAAGTCACACAAAATGAGGTTAGCATTGGCATTAACATGTTTTCTGCAAGTTCTTGAACAATTTACTAAACTTCTCTGAGTTTTCAGCTTCATCTCTAAAATGCTTTTCACATTTACTGCATTGTTGTCCTAAAGATGAAAATGATAATAGCACAACCTGACATACTTTTGACCATAAATTAAAATAGAAAGTAAATTTCCTTTTTCCCATGCATAAATAAGAACCAGAAAAATACCAAGAAAGAAATAATTTCTCCTTGAATGGAGAACAGCCAGTCAAGGTCTTCTGCAACTTAGAAGAAGCTAACTCTGAGTTCAACAAGCTCGCCATTCGCAGGGCAGCGGAAGAGTTCCAATCCGCGTTAAGATGCTTTTCATGCTCAACTGGGGTACCCAGAAGAGCGATCAGGAGCAGTGGGCATGAACTGAGCTCTTCCCGGCAGATTGGCTGGCCTGGATTTATGGTTTTGTTTTCTTTTTAAAGGGGACAAGGACAGTGGGGATAGAATCCAGAGCCTTACACAGGTTGGGCAAGCTCTTTACCAATGAGTCGCACCCCAGCCATGACCGTCCTGGCAAGCAGTCTGTATGAAGCAAGTGGGTAGCTCAGGTCATTTTATTTGACAGTGCTCAGTTGTTGCACATGAGCTTAAAAAAAAGTAATTCCAAGCAGATAACGCCAAAAGAAGCAGACAATGACAAAAGTATTCGCAAGATGTCTTTGACTTGAGTAGAGCCACTTTTGGCACCATTCCTTTGAGTTATCAATTCTGTTATCATCTTCTTGGAGCTAAGCAAGCTTCTCTCTCCCACCCATAAATCTTGATGTGTAGCTTGGTAAGATTTATAATATGATTTTTCATTTACTTGACATATCTGTTATATGCCAACATCTAGATGAAATGCACTGGAGCTACAAAGGTGCTGGGCCGTAGGCCGTGCTTTCCAATAATTCTCTGTTAAGCCAATGAGACAAACGCAAGGTACAATAACAAAAAATGTACACTGCGGTAAATTTCAAACAGGGATGTGTTCACAGCACTCTGGGACACAGAGCAGAAGGAAAATTACTCTTCATAAAATGTGTAGTGGAGCACCAAAACTTAAGGCATCTCAAAAAGCGTACTCTAAGTGTGAAGTACCTTTTATTTGCAGGCTTAAGGAAGGCTAAAAGTACCAGAGACACTGCACCATGTTCATTGTGGCTCGAGCCCCAAGTGAATTTAGGGGACAGGCTGGTCTCAGACCTTGCCTGAGTCCATGGCAATCCTTCCTCACAGAGGCAAGGTAAGCTAAGCCATCTTCCAACCCCAGAAACCATATTAGAATTTCCAACAGCCCAGGACATCTCCAAAAGCTCCAACTCTTTTTCTTTGAACTTCTTTAACAGTAATGCTACTGTGTTTCTCAATGTCTACAAATGTGTGTATGTGTGTGTGTGTGACAGTGAGACCACATGTCCTTTAAACTCTATCAGATGTCTGTCCTATGCTTGTATCAGTGAATGCTTTGTGAATATATACTGTACTCTAACCCTTAAAACACGTGTGATTCAAGAGTTTTTCTTTATAGAATTCAAACCTGAAAGAAAAAAAAAATAGAACTCAAACCTGGTCCATTCCATGGGGAACCAATATGAGACCACCACTTAGCCTGTACTGAATTTGCCTGTGCTTGTGTTTGTCTGCTATCAGTACTGAAGGGTATTAAAAAATGTGATTCTGAACAATTCTGACCCCTTGGCAAGGCAACAAATGTTGCATTTGATTCTAAGCACTTACTTTTTTTTCAGAGGCAAGTGAGAAAATGAACAGTCCAGCCATATGGAGAAGAGATGACTCAGAGACAGCCCTGCTCCAAGGGCCCGTTCAGGCACCAACAGGGTGAGTGTGTCTATGTCCTCAGATCTGAGGACAGAGGGAAGAGGGGAGAGGGTGCCCCAGGGTTTTATAAATGGACCTCATAAGCCTCCTGCTTATAAGGGATGGAAAGTTAATTCAAACCAAGGCCCCCCCCAAAATCCATTTTTAAAGGATTTATTGTACATCTTAGCTGAAAACTTCAGAGCTAAGATTGAGCACACAGACATGAATAGAGAGATGCTGAAAGGGTCATGCAGATGTGTCTTTCTGTCTTTCAGCTAGCTTCATTCTCAAGCAGCCTTTCCCACCCTGATGACAAAATGATGACTCATGAGCCCTGATTCATCTCTTTACAGGTCAGTAACCCCAGTGGAAAGAGAAATTTTCTTTGCCAAAAGTTCCAGTGAGGTCCCGGGATTGAGTCTCATTGGCCCAACATGGAACATGTGTCAACCCCTAAGCCAAACTCTATGTGTAGTGAATCTGGTATGGTTCAAATAACACACACACACACACACACACACACACACACACACACCGCTTATATTGAAATTTAATTGACATTAGAGTACTAAGAAATGAGATCTTTAAGAGACAGTTGGGTCATGAAGCCTTTGTCTTAGGCATGGATAGATGTCGGTATGGCAGGACTAGTTAGTTATCACAAGACTGTGTTTGTTAGGGACTTGGATTTGGTCTGATTTTCCCACTCTACCTCATGTGCACCCACTTCCCTTTCTGCTGTGTTATGACAGCATGAGGGTCCTTGTGAGGCACCAGTGAGGAAAAGTTGAGGAAAAGTAATACTTATTTCCTGTAGGCCTACTCTTGGACTTGGCCTCCCTCAGAACCATGAACCAAAAATTCTTCTATTGTTTATAAGTTATCCAATCTATAGAACTCTGTTTTAGTAGCAGAAAAATGGCTAAAACAACATGAAATAAGCTGATAGGCCAGGACTGCATCCTCCTGGACCTTAGATGAGGAGGATGGGAGGTCAGCCACTGCACTCAGGCCTGGTAGGCAAGACACAGGAGCAACCCAGAAATGCTATGGCAGTGGCCAGCATGCTTTTAAAAAGTAGGCTTCCTCTCCTTCCAAGATACACATTCTAGTTATGCTTTCCAGCCCCTGGCAGTTGAATGTGACCATGTAACTGAGTTCTAGCCAATGAAAGTTGAGGAAAAGTAATACTTATTTCCTGTAGGCCTATTAAAACCAACTTCAGAAGCCATAAAGAAATCAGAGAGGAAGCATAAAGTAGAAGGGGCCTACATTCTTCCACTTAGGGAAGTCCTTATGACTGAGGAGGCTGCCCACCAAATAACTTCTGTGGATAGTTTTTATCAAAGAAGGAATTGTTTATTACAGCAGATAACATGATCTAA